CCCACCCACTCTCCCCCAACCCTGCCCCACCTTGCCCCTAAATAGAAATATTGTTAAGAGTACTTTCTTTTCATTTTGTAAATAGAGTACTTTCTTTTTCATTTCAATGAGTTTTTTTTTTCATGATGTGAAAAAAAGTCTTTTCATTCATTTAAAGAAAAGAAAATATTTTCTTTTCATGATGTAGAAATATATTTTCTTTCATTTCAACTAAATGATGTAGTAGAAAATATGTTCTTTCATTTTAACAAAATCGGTACTTTTTTTCAACCAAAAAAAGAGTACTTTCTTTTTAGTTATGTAGCACGAATTTCAACATTGCTTTTGCGTGAAAAAGTAAAACACATTAGTCCACTTGGGTTTGTGTGAATTTCAAAAGATTAATTAAATTTTTGAAGAAAATAGAGTCCTAAAAATGTTGGGTATTTGGGATTTTGGTTTGGGGGGGGGGGGCACATGAAACGATTTGGGGAAAAGGGGGTGAGCGAAATATTTTTCGAAAAAAGTTTTTCACCCACCAACCAAACAAGGGAAAATTATCACGACCCAAAATTCGCATGTCGTGATGACACTTATCTCAATACTAGGCAAGCCAATAACCTCAATAAATCACAATAATCTTTTAAGTTTGAAAACATAATAATTAAATTTAATAGAAATCCCACAAATACTGATATAATTACACTCCCAAAATTCGATGTCACTAAGTACATGAGCATCTAAATGATAACGTAGTCTGACTGATAAATACACTATCTCGAAATATAGAACAATACGAATAACTGAAAGGAAAGAGAGTCAAGGTTTGCGGACGCCAAAGTGGCTACCTCGATAGTCTCCAACGGACAAATCTCCAAAATCTAACAGTCGGCGTATCTGGAGGTACTTGCGTCTGCACACGAAGTGCAGAGTGTAGTATGAGTACAACCGACCTAATGTACTCAATAAATAATAAGACTAACCTTTGGGCTGAAAGTAGTGACGAGTTCAACATGTATAGTCTAGTATAGAAATAATAGTACAAAAATGTAGGCATGTTTTCAAGTTCAACAATTAAACTCAATACAAGTAAAATAGATCAAATCTGAATGATATGAGGAATATACCATCTCTATATCTACATGTCAATGTACATATTGTATGTGATGCACCTCAATGGAAGCCTCGTGCACTCACACTCTCAGAACACTCAATCACTCAGTACTGTATATGGTCAACCAGCCCATCGAAGATCCATCCCATATATANGGAAGATCCATCCCCAAATATAAATGATTCAGGCGAGATCCTTGCCCAGGGAAGAACCATCCCTCAATATAAATAATTAGGCAAGATCCATGCCAGGGAAAATCTATCCTAAAAATGTGATAATTCGGTCAAGATCCATGCCCAGGAAAGATCTATCCCTCAATAAAATATCAATTGTCCTCACTGTGTGGAGTGCAGACTCTAGAGAGGCTCCTTCAGCCCAAGTGCTATAATAAGCCAGATCCAGGCATGAATAAATAAAATATGTTGTTGCGTGCAACCCGATCTCATAAATATCACTCAAAATTCCCAGTCTCCCGGGCTTTCAATGACATAAAAATCAACCCGATATGATGATATGATGTATCAATGAATGACAACAGAGAGTGAGATATGATATGCAAATAATAGATGTGATTGAGTACAAATTACAATTTAAATAATTAATTCAACAGCATTACGATCTCTGTAGGTCCCAAAAAATATCGGCACGTAGCCTAACATAATCTTTAATATGAGTCTTAGCTCAATTCTCTCTAACACGTGGAGGATATGTGGAAAATGACATGGTTATTTGATTATGCAACTCAACAGAATCAATTAAGTCACAAGTTCAATGGTGCATGGCCAAACGCGCGTCACCTCCAAACAAATCATATAACACGTGATTTAGGGATTAATACTCTCAGAACCAAGTTTAGAAGTGTTACTTACCTTAACCGTGTAAATTTTCTATTTCAATAAGCCTTTGCCTCGCGAATTAGCCTCTGAACGCCTCAAATCTAGTCACAATTAATTCGATATAGTCAACACAATTTATAGGAATCAATTCCATAAGAAAATACTAAATATTTCCAATAAAAATCCGAAATTCAACCCAAAAATCAACAGTGGGGACCACGTCTCGGAACCCGACAAAAATTACAAAATATGAACGTCCATTCAACCACGAGTCCAACCTTACCAATTTTACCAAATTCGACATCAACTCGACTTTCAAATCCTCAAACCTTATTTTTAAATCTCTAGGCCCAAATTCTCTAATTACACCTTCAAAATACGTAATCTAGTCGGAATACTTAATGATAATTCAATATTATTGACTAACAATGATCAAAAGTGACTTACCTCAAGTTTTCCCGTGATTCTCGCTCAAAAATCGCCCCAACCCGTGTTAAAAGTTCAAAAATGACAAAAATGTCTTAACCCCTATGTATTGTACTCTGCCTAGTGGTTTCGCATCTGCGACAAAATTGATCTCATCTGCGGTCTCATAGGTGCGAGCCATTTTCTGCTTCTTCGGTTCACCCACGAGGCCCTGCCTCCGCTTCTGCGATCACTAGTCCGCTTTTGCGGACTCACTTCTACGAGAAGCAGTCTGCTTCTGTGGACACATGCGCTTCTGCAATCCCTCGTCCACATCTACATTCACGCAGGTGCGAAATTTCCCTCGCACATGCAATCACTACCCATACTGCTCCAGCCCGCTTCTACGATGTCCATCTCACTTCTGCGAGCTAGCACCTGCTAGCCAAATTCCGCAGGTGCGATTGCACCAGAAGGCAAAAATTTCCAGCAGCTGCTTAAGTATAAATTTTGATCCGTTAACCATCCGGAATCCACCTAAGGCCCTCGGGACCTCAACTAAAAATACCAATGAGTCCCAAAACATCATATAAACTTAGTCGATGCCTCAAATCACATTAAACAACACTCAAAACACGAATCGCACCCCAATTCAAGCTTAACGAAAACTAACAAATTTCAACTTCTACCTTTGATGCCGAAACTTATCAAATCAAGTCTGATTGACCTCAAATTTTGCACACAAGTCATAAATGACATAACAAACCTATGAATATTTCTAGAACTGAATTTCGAGCCCGTTATCAATAAAGTCAACTCCCGGTCAAACTTCCAAACCTTCCATTTCTTATATTCGCCATTTCAAGCCAAATTTAACTATGGACTTCAAAATAATTATCCGGACACACTCCTTAGTCCAAAATCACCATATGGAACTATTGGAACCATCAAAATTCCACTCCGGGGTCGTTTACACATAATTCATCATCCGACCAATTATTTCAACTTAAGATTTAAAATCTTGGAACTAAGTGTTCCAATTCATTCTAAAACCTCCCGATAAGTGCATAATTACAACTGAGCATTAAATATTCAGTAAATGGGAAAATAGGGTTGTGATACTTAAAACGACCGGCCGGGTCATTACATTCTCTCCCTCTTAAATAAACGTTCGTCCTCGAACGGATTTAGAATCATACCTGAAGTCTCAAATAGGTGTGGATATCTACTCCATATCTCCCGCTCAGTCTCCCAAGTAGCTTCTCTGATTGGTTGGCCTCTCCACTACACTTTCACTAAAGCTATGTTCTTTGACCTCAACTTTCAAACATGTCGGTCTAGAATGGCCATCGGCTCCACATCATAAGTCAAATTACCATCCAACTGAACTATACTGAAATCCAAAACATGAGACGGATCTCCGACATACTTTTGGAGCATGGATACATGAAATACTGGATGAACACCCGATAGACTAGGCGACAATGCAAGTTCATAAGCCACCTCTCCAATCCTCTTAAGTATTTCAAAAAGGCCTAATAAATCAAGGACTTAACTTTCCCTTCTTCTTGTACCTCATAACACCTTTCATAGGCGAAACTCTGAGTAGTACCTTCTCTCCCACCATGTAAGCAACATCGCGAACCTTCCGGTCGGCATAACTCTTCAATCTAGATTGTGCCGTGCGAAGTCAATCCTAAATAAAATTAACCTTTTCCAAAGCATCCTGAACTAAATTAGTACCCAATAGCCTAGCCTCACCCGGCTCAAACCAACCCACCGGAGACCGATACCGTCTCCCATACAAAGCCTCATACAGAGCCATTTGAATGCTCGATTGGTAACTATTATTGT